ATTACTACCATTAGTATAAAAAAAAATTAGGGTTAAGTGCCATCAACAGTCTACAGCAAAAAAAGAATACTCGGGTAAGTACTTTATTTTTTGTTTTCTATGTTTATTTTTTATTATAAAAGTTAACTAAAATGTAAAAAAAATAGGTATCTCTTTAGGTTCTTTAAGGTTAGATTAGGTAAAGTAAACAATAATATAATAATGTTTTACATGGCATGCAAGCAAGCAGCTTGTGGGTAATGTAATTCGACAGTGTTATGTGAGCTGCACGTTCCCCCAATGATTTAAAACTTATGATAGTGCAAATAGTAGTTAGACATGGTTCAAAGGGCAATCAAACAATAAAATTTAATTATAAATAGGTGTATGTTACGAGTTTAAAACTACTTAAGATAAACTAGTGTACTTTCATGTTACAATTTGTAGTCATTCTTGAAAGAAAAAAGAGGTGTCACAATGTCAGGTCAAGTAACCTGAGGCCAATTACAGCTACATTGTCTAATTAAGTAGAGTACCACTGAAAACCAACATGATGATAAATAAACTATAAAAAAGATCAATTGCCAAAAAATGTATAAAACTGCACTTCTTGAGGTTTAATAAAACTTGGCAAGTAACAAATAATTACAATTACGAAAAACATAACAATATTCCCAAGATTTGTTTACAACTATAATTTCAAAATGCAGGAATATTCATAACTAGGAAATGAGCTGTTTACATAACAACAGGGGTCTCATGCTTCTTGCATAACAGCCAAAGGAACACTCCAGAAGACAAGGAGCACAATATTGGAAGAAATAACTATACCTTCTCATATTCAGAAGTTCCATGTGATAAATAAGTAATAGTTTCTAGGAAAGCCCAGCTGACCTCTCAAAAAACTAGTCAAGTTCAAAACAGATTGAAAGTTGGAAAAGATACTATTTTACATTATAATTATTCTTTAAATAAAACTATTATTCATAATTATACAATGAAATAGCTGCAAAATACTGAAAGCATTTATAAATTATTGTAATGTTTTTTGTTTTTTTTAATATTCTTTATATTACTTAATGAAAACTAACATAAATCCAAATTGTTTGTGAGGTTGAACTACATAATTTTGTAAAAAAGTATCAGAATAAACAACATAGCCATGTGTTTTATAACATAGATGTAATATTATAAACTCTGATAAAATGAAAGAAGGGCAAAATAATTTTCAAACTTTTATTTACACTAGAAAATATTTGCGTTTGGAAAAACAACAACAATTAATCATAATGTGAAGGATGATACATAATATAAATAAACAAAAAAGATAATGTATGAAAACATACACACAATAACAAATGTAAATCACAAAGCTGATGATGCCTTTATATCTCAAAATAAAACATGACAAATACCGAAACATAGATTCAAAGAAACCTTCAATAAGGTTGTCTTTTTTTTTTTTCACTCAAGAACATAGTTTATTTCTCATAAAACCATGCTTTTTGTCATTCTTGGATCTATTATTTTTGGCAATAGTGCCTGAAAAGAAAACCAATTCAGTTTAGGGAGTATGTT